TAATTTTATTCCTAACCCTTTTTTTTTTTTTTTTCTCCTTAATTCCAACCCATTTTTTTTTGTCTCAATTTTATTCCAATCCATTTTTTTTTTCTCTCCTTAATTTTATTTTAACCCATTTTTTTTTCTCTTCTTAATTTCATTTCAACCCATTTTTTTTCTGCCTCCTTAATTTTATTTCAACCCATTTTTTTCTGCCTCCTTATTTTTATCTCAACTCTTTTCACATGAAACATGAAAGTTTTATGCTTCATCTTTTAACTATATGAATGAAATTATTGCATGGGAAATGTTGAATCATATATTTGTATCAGGCAAATGATGAAATTCTTGTTTAAACGATCGAGTAAAGAACAAAGATTAACGAAATGGTTAACTGTTTAAATGATTTGATATAGGCATATGGTATTTAAAAAAAAAAAAAAAAAGCAATTTTATTTTTAATTTTAGGAAAAAAAATGATGACAAAAAGGAGGATTAAAGTCTATGTAATTTGCATATTGTTTACTTCATAATGTAATGGTTAAATTAAATTTGAATTAAATATTACAAATTCATAAAATTGTTTGCAAAATATTTAATTTGCAAAAGAAATTTATCATCAAATTTGAAAGAAAATTGATTGTATCATATTTCTACCTTTCTAGCTAATATAATACATGATAATAAACAGTAAATAAGTTGAATATTTTAAAATGATCAATCCGGTTATTCATCTTGATTCATTCATGCTGTCATGATGATATGATATGATATTGATTAGGACTATGTATTGTTAATTTATTGCTTGATTCATCCCACGTTGTTATGATAATATGATATGATATGATATGACATTAATTAGGACTATGCATTGTTATTTATTGTTTGATTCATCCCACGTTGTCACGATGATATGATATGATATTGATTAGGATTGTGCATTGTTTATCGTTTGATTCATCCCACGTTGTGACGATGATATGATATGATATGATATGGCATTGGTTAGGAATGTAAATTAGTCAACTTCCTTTTTTGGATTCGTGTTTATTTTTCAGCTTTTCAGTATTACCAAATTGTTCAATAATATAGAAAATGGATCCGATTGAAGGATTATTTTGTTAGTTATTTAGCATAATTCGAAATCCTGGTAATTCATTCCCTTTTTTTTAATAGATAATTCTTTTACTCTACTTACCTTATCATTTGATGGTTTATGATAATCAAATTATTTGAAATTATCAATATTATCTTATCATTAATGATTTTGTATAGTTGCTAACAGTAATACTATTGAAGTGATTTGATACACAACGAATTTTTATCCATCGATAGAATTACGAGAAAAAAAAAAATCATTGAATGTTATAAATCAATCAGTTAATATTTTAATTATTCACAAGCAATTTTCCCATGAAAACTGGTCATAGCGATACCGAAAGCTTGTAATGCTGATAATGGATAACGAAAATCCATCGTAAATGCATCGTAACCAGTTCGACCAAACTGCATTACGATATATTTAGCTAGAAAAACAATTTAATTAATATCTATCGTAACCGATTTAATCAAACTTCATTACGATATATTTGGCTAGTAAACAAATAATTCATATGTATCGTAACCAATTTTGCCAAACCGCCATCTACACAAAAACAAAGCTATGGATGTGTGTGTGTGTGTGTGTGTGTGTGTGTATGTATGTATGTATGTGTGTGTCTGTATGTATGTGTGTGTGTGTGTGTGTGTATGTGTGTGTTTATGATGTTACTATATCAGTGACAAAGATAACGAATTCAATTTAGCATATTTCTAATATTCCTTTTTTTTTATAATTTCGCATCTTTTTTTTTGTTTGAAATGAAAATGAAAATTGAAAATGCTTACGATCAGCATCATGAATGATTTGAAAATTTTTCACTGATGGTTGAGTAACGCGACCGTGAAAATTCAGAGCATATGATTGAGTATCTGTAAAATTTTACAGATTCAAATAAAGAGTTATATTGGAAGTTTAAGGATGATTGAAATGAAGCCAATTGAATTAATTAATTAATTAATTAATAAAATTAACGAATATTGATGGAGAAAAAAGTTAAATATTTTTCATTTAAAAAATATGTTTAAGAAGTTAAATACATTTTTAGTTTTAATTTCAAAAAAAAAACAAAAACAAAAAAGATCAAAATTCAAGAAGAAAATAAACAAATAAAACTAAAACCTTCATTCCAAATAGGTGTTTTATTATGCATAGCGATTAAATCGTCTGCTTTTCGATTTTTCCACCTCTCCAGAATGCATTCTTGTTCCTAAAAAAAAAAATCAAATTTTTAGCAAAAATAAAAATAAAAATTTACAATCAACAATGATTTCCTTTTAAAATTTTGTTGTTAAATGAAAGAATTGCAAAAATTTTAGCAAATTTTCGTAGTTAATTTTCCTAAAATTAAATTTCAACAATCATATATAATTACGCAAAGAATATATAATCCATAAGCTTTTACTAGTAATGGACGAATTTCTTGACGTCGATAATTTTCAGCATCACAAATACCAGGTATCAAAACAGTCATTTTACGTGGACCTTTAAAACCAAGAACATTAGTATCCTGAAATTTGTAAATTTTAAATTATTACAAGAAAATATGATAAATGATAATTTTTCAGATTTTAAAAATTTAAAATTAATCGAAAAAAATAGTTTTGGTTATTCATTCAAACATTTAATGCATACCTTTTAAATTATTTTCATTTAAAAATTTTTTGTAATATTTTTGCAACATGAATTTAACAAATATATTTCATTTTGTAGTTACATTTAATAAATTTAATAAAATTTTTCAGATTTTAAAAATTTCAAAATAAAATCAAATATGCTTACATAAATGACAGCTGCAAGTTCTTGCCTTACCGATCCACCAATAACCCAGGATTTCTTTGGATTTTCACCATTATCGTATACAGTAAATTGTGTCCCCAAAGCATTTGATCTAAATTTTTGGAAAAGGAAAAAAAATGTTTAGCCAAAAATATCGTATGAATTGATAATTTCGGCTGATAATTTAAAAATTCATATTACAATGATCCTAATTTACAGATAAAATTATTGTTACAAGTTTTTGATGATTAGAAGCCAAGGTTGCCGTTGCAAATCAGGCCAAGGATTAATTAAATATTAGCATTAGCATTCCACTTGCTTGTGGAATAATATTGACATAAATTATTTAATTCATTAATTAAAATGTATATCAACATTTTGAAATTCCTTCAATGCAATTAATACATTATGATTTGATGTAATTAAACAAAAATGTTTCATTATTGCATGAGGTATGATAACAATTAAATACTTTAATTACTTAACTTAATTACTTACTAATTATTTTACTTACTAATTAAGAGTATTTTGCTTTATTCTAGCAAATTTCCGGTAAATCGTATTAATAATTAGAAAACTTTGATTAATAAATTTGTTAAACAGAAAGATTTAATAGCTAATATCACAGAACCTTTTTTCTTTTTTTCCTTTACAAGATTACACATATGTAATTCCGGAATCAAGAAATTGAGTGTACAAAGCATTCCTGATGATATCATTCAGGAATTTTTGATATTCGTGATAATATTATTTTACTAATGAAATTTATAATATATAAATTCTATAACTTCCCTGCTAACATTTCAATTAAAATAAACCAATATTTTCTAACTTCATAAAATATCAATTAATTAAATCTAAAATTAATACTGAAATAAATTTTCACTTCCTTGTTCAAAATTCCAAAATGATATTTA